ACGGCCCAAGAGGCCCCGAAGCCGGCCCAGGAGGCCCCCAAGACGGCCTCAGGGAGGCCCAAGAGGGCCCCGTTCGAAATCATGTTCCCAGAAGTCTCTCCGGGAACATGATTTCCGGGTTCCCAGGGCCCCTTATTGGACCCCAGGACAGACTCAGCGAGGCCCACGAGGGCCCGTGATGGCTTGAAGATGGCCGAAGAGGGTCCCAAGAGGGCCTTCAGGAGGCAAAAATCAGCCCGTCCCCGCACTAAACCGTACATATTCAGCAAACTCCCTTGCTTCGTCTTCGCAGTGCCCCGGGCTCCCCCGAGGAGCCCAAGAGAGACCCAAGAGAGACCCAAGAGGGCCCCAGACGGCCCAAAAGGGTCGTCCTGTGGGGCTGACGAAACCCCCCACGACGGCCCAAGAGGCCCCAAAGCCAGCCCAGGAGGCCCCCAAGACGGCCTCAGGGAGGCCCAAGAGGGCCTCGTTCGAAATTATGTTTCCGGAAGCCTCTCCGGGAACATGATTTCCGTTTTCCCAGGACGCCTACAGACAGCCCCCAGAGGCCCTGGACATGCCGAAGATGACCTCAGGACGGCCGACGACGCCGCCAAAACGCCCCAAGAGCGCCTCCAGAGGCCCCTCCTAAGGGCCCCAGAAGCCGAAAATTAGCGATGCTCCAATGGTTTTTGAAGCATTTTTGCGCTCTCCCATGTTCCTCCTCCCCACGGTCCCGGACCGCGTCGAAGGCCTTTCAGATCGCTCCAAGACGGCCGAAGAGGCTCCCAAGAAAGCCCAGAGACGGCTCAGGATGTTCCCCAGATAAGTCAAGAGGGCCTCGAGAGCGCCCCAAGAGAGCCCCTAGAGCGACCCAAAGGGCCCGAAGAGCGCGACATTTAAAGGTCTTCGGCCTGAGAGGCTCCCAGGGTCCTAGAACAGGCCCCCAGGGAAGCCCCCTGCGGGCCCCCAAGATACTTGGGTAAATCGTATTTCCAAGATAGCTTTCCGGGAACATGATTCCTTGGGCTTCCGGCCACCGCCCCAACCATGTTTCCAATAGGCTTGCCGACAAGGCCAAAAGGCGCCCCTCGGTAAGCCCCCAGAGGCCCCCCTCTCAGAGAGCCGCACAAATCATGCCCCCGGAAAGCTTCCCAGGAACATGATTCTCTATCTCGGAGTAGGCCCGGGGGGGAGCGGGCCGCTGCCTGTTCCCCCCATCGGTGCCCACCAGGAGTTGCGGGGGGGGGTCCAGAGCTCCTGAGGCGGCCCGAGCCCGCCCCGAAGCAGGCCACGACAGGCTAAGGGGGTCCCGAGAGGGCCCAAGACGGTCCCACCGAGGGCCCGAAGACGCCCAAGATGCCTTCAAGACAGCCGACGAGGACTCCAACACGCTCCAGGACGGACTCAAGAGGCTGCCCAAGAGGGCCCTGGAAGGCAAGATTCACTCGTTTTCCAAGTGTTTTGGATTTTGGCGTTCTCGCTTTTCCCACTTTCCAGCGCTCCCTTCACGGCTTCGGAGACCCTTCAGATCGCTCCAAGAAGACCCACGAGGCCCCGACGAGGGCCCCAAGACGGCCCAGTATGCTCCCCAGACAACCCAAGTGTGCCCCAAGAGCACGCCAAGAGAAGGCCCAGAGGGGTCCCGAGGCGGCCCGGGCCCGCTACGAAGCAGGCCACGACAGGCTAATGGAGGTCCCGAGAGGGCCCAAGACGGTCCCAAGAGGCTCCGAAGACGCCCAAGCTGCCCTCAAGACGGCCGACGAGGACTTTTTGAAGGATTTAGGCGTTCTCGCTTTCCCCGCTTCCCAACGCTCCATCACGGCCTCGCTCGGAGGCCCTTCAGATCGCTCCAAGACGGGCCACGAGGCCCTGAAGAGGGCCCCAAGACGGCCCAGGAGGCTTCCCAGACAACCCAGCTGTGCCCCAAGAGCTCCCCAAGAGAGGGCCCAGAGGGGGACCGCCAACGGATATTTCGAGGTCTCTGGCCCTAGAGGCCGCCTGTAGGTCCCCGGAGGCCATCAAGAGCTTCCCACGAAGCCCCGTGAGGCGCCCAAGAGGCGCCCAGGAAGCCCCAAGAGACCCCCAAGGGGCTCCCAGGGAACGCCCAAGAGGCCCCCCAACACACCCCAAGAAATCATGTCCCCAGAAAACCTTCCGGGGACATGGTTCATCATGGGCCCGAGAGTTCCCAGAGGCCCCCAAGGGGCCCCCAGGGAACGCCCAAGAGACCCCCCAACACACCCCAACAAACCATGTCCCCAGAAAGCCTTCTGGGGACATGGTTCATCATGGGCCCGCGAGTCTCCGGAGGCTTCGAAGTACCATCATGCTACAGGAGAGCTGTCTGGGAAGTTGATTGGGAACATGACTGATCGCCTTCTCGCGGCCCTCCGCAGATCGTTTCGCACAAAGTTGCCCCAAGTGCCCTCTTGAACCGACGACGACGAAACGACGACGACGACGACGACGACGACGACGACGACGACGACGACGACGACGACGACGACGACGACGACGACGACGACGACGACGACGGCGCGCCCCAATAGGCGACGACGACATTACGACGACGACGACGACGACGACGACGACGACGACGACGACGACGACGACGACGACGACGGCGACGACGACGACGACGACGACGACGACGACGACGACTGCACGCCCCAACAGGCTTCCCAAGACGCCCCCAAACCCATGCTCCCAGAAGGCCTTCTGGGAACCCGATTCATACGGCCTCCGCCCCCCTACACAACTATTTTCCTCGAAGGCCTTTCGGAATGCAGATTGGCATGCGTGCACTTTGGTCCACTACTTCAGAGGAGCAGTGAAGTTGTCAAGGCCTGGGGCCTGCTAGAACCTGAGCGCGCGCGCGAAGCGCGCGCGATGGTTCTAATATATATATATATATATATATATATATATTGGAACATCGGCAGAGACACTGGCAGGTCTCGGGCTCGTGCTCGGTGGTGACACCAGAGATCTCAGACTGGAGGTTCGCTTCGCGCCTGCCACCACCCGTTCAAGCAAGGCAGGGAGGGACGGCGAGGTAATCAAAAGGTCGGACCCCTTCGGGTTCGATCCCGTGATCGCCGCCCCCCTCTTCCAGATTCAAAGTTGGGTCGGGCCTCGCGGAGGCCCTCGGGGTTTCACTTGTTTGGTCCTCTCGCGCCTGTGCTGCCGAACGCCCGGGACCAACTTTGAATCTGGGGACGGGGGGGGGGGCGGAGTCAAGGGTTCCACCTTTTGGTCCATCTACGGGAGAGATGAGCAGAGAGAGGCCGAGAGACACAGCAAGAGCGAGGGAGAGCTCGGCGGCGAGGTCAAGCGCAGGCGCTGGGCGAGGGCGCGAGCGAGGCAAGGCGAGGGCGAGAGCTCTCTCCCCAGGCGCCTCGGGGCGGAGATCCCGCAAGGCTGTCGTGGCTCCTCGGTCTTGAATCGATATTCGTCCATCTCCGATCGTCTTTCTTCTTCTCAACCATCGAGCCTCCTCGATCCTTCCCCTGCTTGATCTTTGGCCCTCCTCCTGCTCGAGCCTCCGGCTCGATCATCGAGCCTCCGGCTCGATCCTCCTCCTGATCCTCGGTCCCCCTCCTGCTCGATTGTCGAAGGCCTCCTCGGTCTGCGCTGCGCGGGCCGCAGCAGCGGTCGTGCCGGCCGGGCGGGGGGGCGGCGGGGCGGACGCCCCACGCGGAGCGGAGAGCGAGAGAGAGAGAGAGGGGCCGCGGGCGAGGACGGCGGGCGGCGGTCCTGGGAGCTGGCAGCCCTGGGAGCCGTGTGTTCTCCTCCTCCTCCTCCTCCTCCTCCTCCTCCTCCTCCTCCTCCTCCTCCACCTGAGGTACGAGGTGGGCACAGGCCAGGGGAAGGATTGCAGCCGCGGTCGCAGCAAGAGCAGCACACAGCGAGACGAGCAGAGAGATGACGCGGCGCGCAGACGCTGGAAAACGAGTGAGCCACAGAGAACGGGCGGCTCCACGTCTACAAATATTCATGGCTGTGTGGAAGTACGGAGCAACAAGGGCGGTGGTGAAGGAAGCTGATACATCGGGTCGTGCACGGGCGGAGACACTCAAGAAGGACATGCGCACCTTCTGGGACGAGAAGTTGTTGAGCGTGGAGATGCCCATGGTTGCTCGAGTGGTTCAGTACTTTCGGGTCAGGTTGCATCGCAAGGTGGAGGGCCAGAATGACAAGGCTACTATCATGTTCAAGATTGACCTGCATCACGAGCTGGGCTCCATGATGGGCCTGATGATCGAGGCACTGGTGGCAGTGGATGGGGGGCTCCATCCTTTCAGGCTCAGCACCGCGGGGCCCGCTGAAGAGAGAGATTTCGAAGTATCTCGATCGGAAGCCTTCGGCGTGAGTGAGCCCCCCCTCGAAGGTGTAGTTTGCAGCAGCAGCAACGTAGACGGCAGTCGCGAGTTGCCCGCCAGTAGATTTCCAATGATGGCGAGCAGCGTTCGCTCAGCATCTCTAGTAGCAGTAGGAAGTACTGCAAGCAGGCCTCCAACTAGGCTTCAGAAAGCCTCTCAGTAGTTCGCGCTCTTGAGATCCCTGTAATTAATTTGCTTTCGAATCGCGGCAGAGGCGACCGACATCCTGGGAGGGGGAGGCGCGGGGTGGGCTCTGGTGGGCGGGGGAAGGGAAGAGGTCGTCGCACCTGACGGTCGGGCCCCCGCCGAGGGCTGCGTGCCCATCGGGGTGCCCGACGGAGTGCAGTGTTTGCTGTGAGCCTTAGAGGGGCTCGCAGCGTGAGACGTCTGGTTTCGAAGAAACCGTCTCAGAGTTCAGCCCGGTTGTTTCGAGCTTCGCGGCCGGTAGCTTGACACGGACTCCACGAGGATCTGCTCTGTTTTGCTCTGCTCTTCCTCCTGCTCAGCCTCCTCCTCCTCCTCCTCCTCCTCCTCCTCCTGCCCCCCATTCCTCCTGCTGCCCCCCATCCTCCTCCGGACCCCTGTCCTCCACCCCCGTCGTGCCTCAGTCTTTCTGTTCCCCGGGATGCCCCCGAGGTGGAGATCCCAGGAAGTTGTCGCAGTTCATGTGCCAGACGGGGGGGCGGCTGATGCCCAACATGCTCCGGAAGGAGGAAGCGCCGACTGGCAGGGTCGGGCGCTCGGTGCCGCAGCGAGGCCGCGGGTCTCGCTCTGCGGGGTCTCGCCCCGAGGGGAGGGGTCGAAAAGGGGCAGGGGAAGGAGGAGGAGGAGGAAAGGAGAGGAGAGAGGAGAGAGGAGAGAGGGGAGAAGAGAGAGGAGAGAGAAAAGAGAGGAACGAAGACGAGAAAGGACAGGCTACGCGCGCCCGCGCCATATCTGACATCCTAGGTTCCTCCCACCCCTCACTCCCCATCGCGCGGATGTGTGTCTATCCGCCGACGGGTGTTGGGGCAGACCTGGGAACCCCAAAAGGGCACGATCGTGTAACGCGCAATCAGGAAAAAAGGGCGGCGGATGAGCAGGAGAAAGGAAAGAGGGGCGAGGAGGATAAGGAAGGAAGGAGGCGATGAGGAAAACAAAGAAGGGAAGAGAAGGAGGATAAGGAAAGAGGATCGGGAAGCAAAGCGAGGAGGAAAAGGAGGGAGGAGGAGGAGGAGGAGGAGGAGGAAGGAGGAAGGAGGGGGGCGAGGAGGCACAGCAGCAGCGGGAGCAGGAGTGGGAGGAGAGCAGCAGGACCAGGGGAGGGCAGAGGAGGGCAGAGGAGGGGGACGCCAGCGCCAAGGACTAAGCGCATCGGAGCTGGGAGTGTTGCTGGGCACTCCCTGTCTACCCCCACATTTGAGGCATGCTGCGTTTGCACGACATGTCTTATAATGCGAAGCCTATGAAACCTACGCAGGACGCGGATCCAGAAAAGTGGCCCACGCTGGGGCGGGAGCGCCGCTCTGAACGGCGGGAACGCAAAGCACCGATCCCAAAAAGGAGGCCCGTGCACCGATCCCAAAAAGGAGGCCCACGCCGCAGCCGGAGCACCATTTAGAAGCACCGAGGAGGTTCCGGTTGAAAGACAAGCATCCGAAATACAAATGCACGAAACCATGTTTGCAGATAACAGTACACGCAGAGGGCGGGACACGGTCAGGGCTTAGCCGGGCGAGAGAGGAGAGTATTATTCAGATTGGGTAGCTGAATTGAGGTGGGAGAGGAGGGGTGGAGGAGCACGACGAGGACGAGGACGAGGAGGGGGGAGAGAAGGAGAGGGGCAAACTAGGCGCGCTCGCGCCACATCTGACGTAGTCGCCCTCTCACCCATCTCTCCCCATTGCGTTGAATCCTCTCCTTCCGACGACTGGGGAAGCCGACAAACACACAGTAGGGGCATGTCCACAGGAAACCTTACACAAGAAACCCAACCTTGAGACCCCAGGGCGTCCATTGATTTTCGGCGTGGGAACGTCACGCTTTCCATGGCGAAACCACCGAAGCACAAGACACCCACGGCACCCTGCAGGCAAGCAGGGTGTTTCTCGGCACGGGCCCCCACTGTAAGAATATCCTACCGAGCTGTCGCATTATGGAATCATTGCTTTCACGTCAACGCAGTTACGTTTTCAATCCGTAACAATGGTCTCACCGCCTTCCTGGTTGGCGCCCTCGGCAAAAAACAGCGGCTGCACTCCTCTGTGTCACACACGTGCCACGCCGCACCACGCAAACACGGCCCAAGGAAAAACCGCGTTTCAGCTGATATGTGATTTCAGCCCGTTGTACAAGACCACGAATCAGTCCTCCTCCTCCTCCTCGTCCTCCTTCGGGAGAGAGAGAGAGAGAGAGAACCCGAAGTTGCAGAATCACCTCAAGGCCGCGATTGGGCTCATTCATGAAATCCCAAGAGACGCCGGTAGCGTGCGATACCCTTCGTTGTTGGCGGTCCAAGACGGCCTTCGTCAAGGAAGGGGCCCCGCCTATCGTTCGACACACGTTTCGTCGATTCGTGCGTTCAGGGCTCAGCAGGCCTCATGCTTCCTCATGAACGCGATTCTCACGACCTCGTTATTGGCCTTCGGGAGCACGCCGTCATTGGCTCCCCCCCCAAAAAAAAAAGCACCCAGGATCGCCGAGTCCAGAATTCGTTGGGGAAAATGCTTCGGTGGAGGCCGCCACAAGAAGGCAAACTAGGCGTTTTTTTCCCGCTCCCTCTGTGTCCTCCCCCGTTCCTCTTCCCTCTCCTACGCCGCCGATGACAATAGGGTCGATATCGGAGCGTGGACGAATGAATTTTCAGGGTGGGTGGGACCCCTTGGCGCGCCCCGAAGGTCGAAGTCGAAATAGAACGCGAGGCAAAGGTGCTAGAAGAAATAGTGGCAAGTAGATTTACGCTTGCGAGTTGAACCGATGCCCTTCCCACCTCCGTTGCTTGCTGCCTCCGTCCTTGCCCTCGCCTCTCTTCCGCCGTTGGTGCTGCGTTTGCTTTCTTTCTCTCTTGGCTCATCCGCGTGTGTTTGCGTGTGTGTGTGTGCGTGTGTGTGTGTGTGTGTGCTTGTGTTTGTGTGTTTGTGTGTTTGTGTGTGTGTGCGTTTGTGTGGTTGTGTGTGTTTGTGTGTTGTTGTGTTTGTGTGTTTGTGTGTTTGTGTGCGTGTGTGCGTGTGTGCTTGTGTGCTTGTGTGCTTGTGTGCTTATGTGCTTGTGTGTGTTTGTGTGTTGGTGTGCGTGTGTGCTTATGTGTGTGTGTGTTGAAGTGTCTGTGTGTTGGTGTGTGTGTGTGTGCGGTTGTGTGTTTGTGTGTGTGTGTTTGTGTGTGTGCTTGTGTGTATTTGTGTGTGTGTTTTTGTGTGTGTGTGTGTTTGTGTGTTTGTGCGTGTGGTTTGGGCGCCTGTGTGTTTGTATATGTTTGCGTTTGTGTGTGTTGTGCGTTTGTGCGTGTGCGCGTTTGTGCGTGTGTGCCTTTGTGCGCTTGTGCGTGTGTGCGTGTGTGTGTGTGTTTGTGCGTTTGTGCGTGTGTGTGTGTTTGTGTGTGGTTGTGTGGTTGTGTGTTTGTGTTGTTGTGCAGTTGCGTGTGTGTGTGTTTGTGTGGTTGTGTGATTGTGCGTTTGTGTGTTTGTGTATGTGTGTGTGTCTTATATGTATGTACATGTGTGTAGTTGTATAGTTGCGTAGTTGTGCATGTGTGTGCATGTGTGTATGTGTGTGTGTTTGTGTGCTTGTGTGTGCTTGTGTGTTTGTGTATGTTAGTGTATCCGTGTGTCCGTGTGTCTGTGTGGTTGTGTGTTTTTGTTTTTTGTGTTTGTGTGCGTTTGTGTGTTTGTGTGTGCTTGTGCGCGTGTGTGCTTGTGCGTTTGGTTTGTGCGTCAGTGTCTTTGTATCTGGTTTCGTTTGTGTGTTTGTGCGTTTGTGCGTTTGTGCGTTTGTGCGTTCATGCGTTTGTGCGTTTGTGCGTTTGTGTGCTTGTGTGTTTGTGTGTTTGTGTGTTTGTGTGTTTGCGTGTTTGTGTGGTTGTGTTGTAGGTGTGTGTAGGTGTGTGTAGGTGTGTGTAGGTGTGTGTGTGGGTGTGTGTGTGTTTGTGTGGGTGTGTCCTGTTTCTCTCGCCCGTCATTCTCCCCTCCTTCGTTCCCTTCTTCCCTAGTCGTTGTTGGGGAGTGGCTGCGAGGCCAGCGAGAAGCGTTTCGATAGGAACTGGCCTCTTCGGCCAGCGAGAAGCGTCTCGATAGGAACTGGCTTTCTGGCCAGCGAGACGCGTCTCGATAGGAATTGGCTTTTCCGGTCAGCGACAAGCGTCTCGATGGGAATTGGTTCGGTTATCTTTTTTTTTCGCTAGGGGTATCGAAGGACATCATTCAACATGTTTACTGCCAGGCGTTCGCCCGCCTCGTACTTGCAGGGAGGCTCTGCTGATAGCTCGGTGCGGGAGCCAATTGAGCGAGGCAGTTGAATCGTGCACGGCCTGGTTGGCCATGCTCCCCCCCCCTCGTCACGGCTGCCGCCGCCCCTGGCTGCCGCCGTTCTCCTCTCGTCCTCTCTGCGTCTCCTTGATGACGTCTGCGCACTGCACGTGCAGGCCTCTCGACCCTGTGCTGCAATCGGGGGGGTCCCCAAGCTGATTGCAGGGGGAGGCCTCCCCCCCCAGAGTCTTGACGTCGGCGGGGGCAGACTGCCTCCCGCACGCCCTGCGGCCACCGCCCCAGTCGAGTGGCTCGAGACTTGGCCATGCGCAGATAGCGAGCGAGCGAGCCTCCTCCTCTTCCTCCCCATCATCATCACCATAAGCATCGCCAGCATCGTCAGCATCCTCATCACAACCACCATTGTCATCATCACCAGCATCATCATCACCATCATCATCATCCGCGACCTCATGTTCCTCCGCATCCTCCTCCTCGAAGGACCTCGAGCAGCTCGGAGGAGAGATCAAGCACGGTACGGCACGCCCCCGATGCCGCACACTAAGAGGTTGTTGCATACCCAATTGAGTCAGTTCGAGCAGCCCCAACGGCGGCCGCAAGCCAAGTTGATTCAGAAACGGCACAGGTCACCGCTTCGCGGACGAAGCTGCTGGCACGACGATTCGTTAGAGTTGCACTTGCACCTGCGACGCAGGGGCGGGGAAGACCTCCCAACCCTCTTCCATCTGACCTCACCAGCAATAGCACCGTGCTGTCCCCCGTGATGGACCCCCCCACACACTCAACAGTTCTCAGTTCTCGCCTCGCCTCCTGCTGCTCACCCCGGACGGGTTGCTGCGCGCCGCCTGGACGACCCCCCCCCCGTTCCTCTCCGAGCTTCCCCCGCCCTCAAAGCCCCAGAATGGCTACAGTCAGTTCGCATAGGAAGGATGGGCAACCTTCCCAAGAGTACCCCTGCATCCTTGCCTCCTCGGTCCATCCTTCGCCACTTTCGTTGGCCGCGCCCCGCTCGATAAGCTTCGAAGTTGGCGTCCGAGGCCCTTGCATCCTTGTCGCGCATCCTTATGATACGGGCCGGCTGCACGTCTGGAGAGGCCCGTACCCGGTTCAGGGCTCTGGGTGGGAGTCATTTGGTGTTCGGCGGTTTGCAGCCTGTGATGGGCAGTAACCGGTACTTGCGCAGCCCCACCGTCGTCTCTTTGGGCGCGCTTGTCCCGATGTCTTCAGCCGCAGAGGCCGATCCTGGCGAGTAACCAGTGCAGTTAGCTCAGACAAACACGTACAGGGCTCGGTCGTGTGGCTCCGCTCTTCCTCCTCATTCTCATGTGCATCATCATCATAATCCGCATCATACGTCATCCGCATCATCATCAGCATCATCCTCATCATCATCATCATCAGCAGCAGCATCATCATCAGTATCATCACCATCGCCTTCACCATCATCATCAGCATCAGCATCGTCGTCATCATCATCGTCGTCAGCAGCAGCGTCATCGTCATCATCATCACCATCACCAGCACCAGCACCAGCACCATCCCTTACCCTCCTCAGGCATACGACTCGTAAATGGCTGATTGTGCCTGTGGTGGGGACAGGGCTGGAGAGACTAGAACAAATTCATCCAACGTCGCTTCGGTCCGTCTACACTACAGCGGGTGCCGCGAGTGGAACACCGCCCCGTTCCCAGGCTTGGGCCGCCCGCTCCCCTTCCTCCTCCCCTCCGTTTCCATCACCCGCCTCATCCTCCGCATCTTCCATCGCCCTTCCTCCTCCTTCCATGTTTGTTCCTCCTCGTCTTCGTGTTCATCTCTTCTCCTCATTCTCTTCCTCATCATCCTCATCAGCGTCATCAGTATCATCCTCAGCATAATCATCATCATTATCATCAGTATCATCAGCATCGTCAGCATCATCAGCATCAGCATCATCGGCATCAGCAACATCATCATCATCATCAGCATCATCATCATCATCATCATCATCAGCATCATCATCATCATCAGCATCATCATACTCATCATCATCATCATCGTCTTCCCTCTTCGCTCTCCCATCATGCTCGTCCGCCTCATCCTCCTCATCATCATCACCAGCAGCAGCAGCATCGTCAACATCCGCATTCTCCCTCGTCATCCTTACGGATCCCCCCTCCTTGATATCCAATTTCCTCATCCTTCCTCCTCCTCCTCCTCGTCCTCGTCCTCGTCCTCCTCCTCCTTCTTCATGTTCCTTCATTACCCCTACTCGTTCCTACTCCTCCACCTCCTCCTGTCCCCTTCCTCCTCCTCCTCCTCCTCCTCCTCCTCCTCCTCCTCCTCCTACTCCTCCTCCTCCTCCTCCTCCTCCTCCTCCTCCTCCTCCTCCTCCTCGTCCCCCCTCCCCCCTCCTCCTCCTCCTCCTCCTCCTCCTCCTCCTCCTCCTCCTCCTCCTCCTCCTCCTCCTCCTCTTCCTCCTCCTCCCCCTCCTCAAGGAGCTCGAGGAACCAAGGGCCGCCGAGTGGCAGATGCAGCAGACGAGGCAGAGGACACACTGAACCAGGTGGAAGGGGCGCTCCGAGGAAAAGACTTTGCAGCGGCGCTGAGCATCCTCCTAAAAGGTTTCTGCATGCACTCACAGCTCCTTCGGGACCTAGCGGCAGTGGTGTGGGTAAGCGTGATCCTCCCGACCACATCACCGATTATCGTGGCTTCCAGGGCAGCTGGAAAACTGTACGCCGAGGCAGCTGGGCTCCCTTCCGTGAAGGACAAGTTGGGGTCGCCACACTTGCACATAGCGCGCGCAGGGTACGAATGCTTAGTGGAAGCGGAATCGAGTCTCAAGATCGGGGGGAAGCTTTGGACGTAGTTCGTTTGTTCCACAACAAGTTCATACAGAACGGACAGATGCAGGAGTTAGGATTATCGATCCGTCACTACCACTGCAAGAAGTGCTACAACGAAGATATGACACGTCTCCAGTTCGCCATCGTGGATGGGGTCTCCCTCTCAAGCGACAGCGGCGAGCAGACGACCTACTCCAAGCTGGTGGCCGAGAGTGCGGCCGTCGTACTGCTCAGGGGCATGGGTGGAACCCTCAAGCAGGGTACGGCACCGCAGGGCCACTTAGAGAACCTCGCACAGAAGATGCTGGACAAACACAAGCTTGGCGGAAAAAGGCAGGGGCAAGCAGCAGAAGTGACGGCGGATGGATGGCAGACACGTATGGCGGCGTTGCGGGCCCGTATCATGGCAAAAGAGGAGGCCCCCAAATCCTAAGCGCTGCTTAGGTTCAGTCGCCATTGTTTTCGCAGGACGCTCAAATCCTAGGCTCTGCCGAGGTTCAAGTTTCGCTGGACGCTCCAAATCTTAGGCGTGGCCGAGGTTCAAGTCGCCATTTGATTTCGCTGGACGCCTCGACTCGAGCGTATTTCAGTATTGGGATGGGGTATTTGTACTCATGCAGTTCATTGATGTGCATATGGCGGGCTCAGGTTGCGACCAGCTGACCTCCACCGCGTCCCAGACTGGGATCCCTGAGTGTAACCCCGTGCTCTGGATCCGCTGCGTCATGGTGGGCATGGTAATGATCGTGAGTGAGTCCGCTATGCCGCGGAAGTCGCACTACATACCTGAGGCGCCGTTCGCCTCGCTCCTTTCGCCAAGGCGGGTTGGCATCTCTTTTGTTGCAGTCAGGACAGTCGATTCTGGAATCTGACTATTCTCATTTTTTCCAGGGCTGGGTGGATGCCGTGAGGTTTCGGCCCCCACGGGGCCAGAGGGGTGTCCCCCCCCAGCCCGTGCGTGACAGTGAATATTGCGAGCAGCCCCGATACACATGTGTCGAGTGCTGCACGGCGCGCGTAACCCGTAACCTCGTATAGTGGATATGCGATCGTTCGAGGTTGTAGCGTACACGAGCGGCACACCGCGTGTATAGCTGCGTCATCCCCAGCACACGCGCAAGGCCGAGTCCTAT